CTATCCCTGCTGAACTAAAATCCAATAGGTGTAGCGGTTTGACCTGTTATTCATCCACCCGGGGCAAGGGGCTCAGGCTATAGGGGCGGCTGTTTGCTTTTCACAAACGAAATTTCACTGGAACAGAGTCTTGCTCAGCCCTTTACGTGCTGTCTGTGGCTCTTTCACACCCTGATGGCAGAGCTGAGCAGTTGTGCCAAGAGACCATCTGGCCTGCAGAGCCTAAGATATTTACTGTGTGGTCCTTTATAGAAAAAGTTTACTTCCCCTCTTACGTACAGAGCCTGTCAAAGCCCTACAGGATTTTAGGTATGCTACATCCATCACGTTTCTCTGAAGTAACAGCCTTTCAAAAAGAGAACAAGGTTAGTTTGAACTGACTACTCCTGTGAAACTCTGAAGTTGACTTCTGTAATGGTGATTCCAAAGCCCTACAAAAATCACGATACAATAACTGTTCATAAAATTTTAGAGAAAGAGAAGCCATTTTAAAAATGTGCGTTTTTGAAAATATATAATGCACTTTACCACCAAAGGTAAGGCGGAGAGGCTGTTAGGTAATGATGGCTGATATATATTTTGTGTTTTCTTGGCCTAGATGCCCTGAAGAAATAAACTAGTTGAGACAGAAGTCATCACCAGGCCTTGTCTTGTACTTAAGTCAAAGACCCAGGGACAAGACTAGGATTTGCTGCGACTTCAACTGATGAACTCACAATATGACTCATCCATGACTTGTGACTTACTGGACTACTGGGTGGTAAATGTTTCTGAAATTCAATGTACATGTGATGAAGGGCACCAAGACTCATTCACACAACCAGTGGCTACTGAGTGCCTTCTATGAGTTAAGCCCTGTGCTGTCTCTGAGTCTGAGCAGTGAGCAGAAGAGAGACGTTCCTTGCCCCACTGGGGCTTAAAGTCTAGGGGGAGACAGAGACAAGAGTAACTTTTAAACAATGTGTGTGTGTGTGTGTGTGTGTGTGTGTGTGTGTGTGTGTGTGTGTGTGTATACACACATATATATATTTGTTTGTTTATTTTGGCTGCACCCGGTCTTAGTTGCAGCATGCGGGATCTTTGTTGTGGCATGCAGGATCTTTTTTTTTTCCAGTGGTGGCATGCGGACTCTTAGTTGCAGCATGCATGTGGGATCTAGTTTCCGGATCAGGGATGGAACCCGGGTCTCCTGCACTGGGAGCGCAGAGTCCTACCCACTGGACCACCAGGGAAATCCCTAGACAAATGCATATTTAATTATGGACACTCAGGAAGGGACAGAGCAGGGCCCTGTGACAAAGCCTCCTAAGGAGACACTATTAAAGTATGTGGTCAGAAGGGACAAGCCAAACGGAAGCAGGAAGACGACCCAGCTTGAGGGCAGGTGGGAAAGAGCCTGATGAGTGCAAACGGGCAGGACCAGATCCTGGCTCTCCGAGGGTCTGCACTCAGGAGAGAGGACCCATCACACACAACTCTCCACAGCAGCCCCCTCGCGACGGGCAGGGTTTCCTCTCCCGCACTCATCCGTGGGCTCCATCCCGCAGGGACTGTGTCTGTCCCGCTCACCCCCAACTCCAGGACCTGCTGGCATCTCTATATATCTGCCCAATGCCAGGGTGAAGGTGGCTATGGTGCAAGGTACCGGAGGATGAAGGGACAGGAAATCAATCTGCCTTTACATCCCAAACATGATAGCTGACCTGGGAAACTCTGTAGACACGTGTCTCTACGAATACAGGTACTAACTGCATGGCAAGGTAATAAATGTAGTTGTCTCGTTAAAAGTGAAAACACTGTTTTTCTTACATCTTCAGAGACAGTTTGAATTTCACGGAAAGTCAAATGGGGCTCCACAGACATTTCTAGAAACTTACAGGCTTCTTGAAGGAATTTCTCTCTCACGCTGTCCGACGTACAGTTTTTGCATGTTTTAATCGCAACCGCCAGAGCCGGATTCTCCTGTGACGGGGACACATTCAACGAGAGGGCCTCTATGTTAATCAATGGGCATCTTGAGGACAGGCTGTTTATTCTGCAACTCTGGATTCAGGATCAGACAGAACCAGAACTGTGCAAGCTCAAGAGTGAGAGGAACAGTTAAAATCCTCTGTAGAAAAACCCCAGAAAACAGACGTGCATGTAAAACGCTGCAGGCGATTCGTCTGTTCCACAGATGTTTCCTCTCCGTAGTGCCGGGCACTCCTGTAGGGGCTTAGGCTGCACCCGTGAACAAGGGCCGGCGCCCCCTGTGCCACAGGATACAGGATACAGACAAACACGGTGAACGAGACCTCCATCGTGGACTGGAGCGGGTTAGACGGTAACCTCCCCGAGAGGAGAGAAGAGAGGGGATGAGAACAAAGAACTGCTGGAGGGGAGGGGATGCCGGCCGGGGGTGGACAGAGGGGTCGGACCCTGCGGCTTCTACCCTAAGTGAGAGGCCCCCGGGAAGGGGAGGTGAGGAAAGGCGCCACGGAGGCGGTGGTGGGTG